TACATTATTTAATATATAGTGTTCTATAGTGTTTATATTGGAATGATATGAATGTAGTAAAAATTAAAAATCCACGAATATTTATTTCTGTTGTCTTTTTTTATCACTATGTATACTTACCCATACGAATCAATAGGAAAATCGAATAAATACACGAGTAAGTAGAACGATGTCTAATACTTTTGCAAAACGCATTACAACGTTTGTATCATTCATTAAAATAAAATAAACAACTGAAAAAGTATCCAATACACAATGGCATAAGTAAACGTACGCAATAGGCAAAGAAGCGCGTGTTTGCGGAAAAGTGATTTTCCGCAACATTGCAACAAAATATTTATATTACCCATCGAGGCGGTTCACGTACACCATAATATGTTCACTTTTCTCTTTCTAGTCATAATATATATATGCTGGAGAGACGCTTTATAAATGATTTATGTTATATATATATATATATAACGAAATTACGAAACAACGGTAAAGTTTGAATCGTCCGAGAATGGGTTAAGAATCTGGGTGTTATAAATTTATAACACATTAAAATTATTAAGTGCCGTATATTGACGGTTTAGTCGACGAGAAGAATACATATTTATTATATGTATAAAATGTAATACGTATAAATAATAACGTACTCACCGAATGTGAGGGAGATACGTTTTTTTCTTATTATTCTTATTTTTATTTTATTATTTTCGGAAGTACAAAAGAACTCCACGCATTCTTAGACGTAAATATAATAGACGATGGATCTCGGCGGCAGCGGTGACGACGACGTGAACGATATATGTCATGCATGCAAAAGAAAAAAAACTAATAATAAACAATATTATATTACACACGGCTCGCGAACTATATAACGTGCACAAAAGAAACACCACACACGCACACAAACCCGCACGTACTGGCGACCAGAGAGAAGAACCTTATTCCAAGCACAAGTACCTGTGGCATGTGAGCACGGCATGGAGACTGGAGGATCAGCACTCAGCGCGGCCCGCGTATACGACGGTCGCCGCGGTTACCACTACTACTACCACCACTACTATACAATCACCACTGACTGTCGACGCCACTTACCACGATTGCCGCTACTGCCGCTACTGCCACCACTGTCTAGGCGGCACTATAAACCTACTTACATAATGTAATGTAATAATAATATGGTCTATGGATGATATTTATTATATATACATCATAGGTACACGCGGGATGAAGGCGCGGACGCACGATCTACGATAACGGGATAAACAAATAAGAATATGAAAAATCGCAGACTTCTATATTAACTATAAAAAAAAAAAAATAGATAAATAACTCCGGGCATTAGTTGAAGCCTGGTTCCGCCATTTTCTTGGTTGGCAATGGCATGTTATATATGTTATATATATCATATATTATGTATTTGTGGTAAACATGAATTGATGTTGTATTGTATTCATAATTTCAAGACTTGTTTTAGTAACAAAAAAAATAAATATTTTATATAGATCATTTTGTCATTATTATAATATAATTCACCATTAAAAAATGTATAATTTCATTTATTCCTYATAGGTACATTTAATACATTTTGTATGTAAGATCTTCACTGATAACAATGTAAATAATATAGGATAAACCTTATATCTAGTTAGTATAGAAGTATGTGTGAAAAATGTACCGGTTTCACGCATAGATAATATATTCTATATATTATTATCTATGAATTATGATTTCACGCCATCGACGCACATTTAACGCCTTGTACTGCTATCTCTATACACACGAAGGCACGCAACYTGGGGTACGTAATCTATCATAGGCTGCAATATCGTTAATTATTAAAGATTCATGAAAACCACCCAAAATTACCATTTCGATTCACTCGCTATTATTATATGTTGTTATACTTACATAATATAATGACGAACAATAACGCGAACCATTTATCTGGATAGGCCTAGTTAATTTCCCTGGTCATTTCAAGCGACTTTGAAGAAAACAAAATTATTAAATTTTTTTACTATTTCCCATTATAWAGATTTTTTTAAAACATCTATTATTTTTAATTTCATAATAAATATTTGAAGCGGAAAACTGCTAAAAAAACAATGTATAAGCACTGAATATTCAACAACAAGATTTTTTTTATAGTAATTTTATAATCAAGGATTGATTTGATGGAAAAGTAGTGTGATCCAAACTCTTGCAAGATATTTTTTGTAATTTTATAATCCACCCATCTTTAAAAGCTACTTACTATTAATAAATAAATAAAAACTTTATATTTAAATTTCAATCGCATCAGTTTACTTTTCAAATTAATTTATCGATTCTCGTTATTAAATTAAAATTATAGGTAGCTAAAAACCGAATCTTTTGTAAACTGTAGGCAGTAATTCTATTATATAAACAAGTATTCCGAACAAAGTGTATGAATCAAAATACTATTTTCAAAATCACAAAAATCTACAGGCCAATTTGTGTAATGAGTATATTCTGTTAAATATTGATTCCGTTTACGAATTACCATTACAATATTATCATTAATAACATAAGTAATTAGACAGCCTAAGTCCTAACTATTAGAATACTTCAGATGGGCGAACGCCAGTTATATAAATATATAATACAAGAATATTACATAACGCACAACGGGGGACTAAATCGGTAATACTAAACGAATATTAATTAAAAAGAAAAAATACAATAGTCTTTCGTAGCTATTTGTTCTTGTTTAGAATTTACCATGGATTACGATTTATGCAATTAATTTTGGACACAAATAATATATAGACGTTTAATAGTCATCGATTGTGTATCGATATTATACTATATGCGTTGGCCGCAGGAAGTGTCCCGTTCCTGTCGAGACGGAATACTCGTCCAGAATTTTTACTGCTGTTTATTGTGCTTGTAATTTACAATATTTTGGTATATATAGATTACGTTTATTATGAAAGGATTTCCGAGTGCTTTAATACTATACGAATATACAACTTCTTTCTGCAAAATTAGTTTTTACGGTATTATTAAATACAAAAATATGTTATATAATTAATATTAGTGTACCTACTACCTTTACCTACACTTTTTTTATTTACGATATATCTAGTAAATGCAGCGTATATACATTATACATAGGTTGTTTGGATATTAGGATTGATTATATATTGATACCTATATCCCAACAAACAGGGTATAATTATCACTATTTAAACTTYAAATATCTTTCAATTTGGTTTGGGGGACATTACACTAGAATAATCAATTCTAAATTCCTATGACATACAATTTTTTAACTCATGTATTTTGCTTAAGCGCAAGTGCACAACAAAACTTCTTTTTTTTTTAGTGACAATCCCTATTTTAAATAYCATTTTTGGATTGATTATTTACTTTCAAGACATTTTGATGTAATTGTAAAAAATAAATATTATAATTTAATAAGATTTTTAAATTATACCTCTAATTTGGGCAATTTTGAGTTTACAACAAAAGTTGATGCATAAAAATGTCTTGAAAAAATCAATCAATCCGAAAATGATATTTAAAATAGGGTTTGCCATTTTAAAAAAATGAAGTTTTGTTGCACATGAACCAAATAAATAAGTTAAAAGACATTTAAATCATAAGAATTTATGATCGATTAGTCTAGTATAATGTCCAGCAAACAGAATTGAAAGATATTTACAGGGTAATTAGTGATGAAGTGTACCCTGTTTTTTGGGACACACAATATATAATATATTGGGACGTGATTTTTGATTAAATAAATGTAATTGTATAAATAATTATACAAACTTAATCATCGGAATTAATATTATTGCATATAGTTTAAATAAATATATATAATAAATAAAAAAATAAAAAAAATAATTATAATTCAAACTTGATGTATTTGATACCCACGTTTTTTATAATAGCCATAATACATAACCATATCCGAAGTTTGTAATTTAAATATTTACTTCCAACATAATACCAACTTAAAATGACTGAAATTTAAGATTTACATCAAAAACCAAAATCGATTTTGTCGAAAAATGAGTGTGCGTAAAATTTCCCGTTTTTYCCTTAATTTTTAGTTTGTTTTTCTCAATTATTTAGAAAAGTATTAAGAACTTTTTACTTTTGACCCCCCAAAGTACCAACTAGATTCACTTTATGATCGAACGAGGTACT